AATTCCAAAAAGGAACAGACTCACAGTTGCAATTAGGTGTACCAGATCACGTCGGTCTCACCAATGATGATGTCACAGGTATCCAGTGTTTGACAACGCTTCTATCAGTAACACCTAATATATTTCGTTCCCGCCCAGAGAAATCAAAAGACAGAGTCGAGGAGATCGGAAGAGTATATTTGGCGATGACCAATATATCGGAATTCTCTGATCTAATCTGGCTAGCGATTGCGGTTGATGTTGAGCACGGCGTTACCACACGTGATCTGGTGCGGATGCCTGACCGAGCGCCTTCAGCTAGATGAGTCCACTAAAACATATGGTCAGCATCCAATGTCGAAACCTTACAGAGCTATTTATTTTTGGGATTTATTTACCGCTACAGAATACTTTAACTTAAGTAAATTCAATTAAAATGTGAACGGTGGTCTTGATATGTAATAAACCACCAAAACAATAGCGCGTGGCTTAGGCCAGTCAATTGGATTGCTTGTGCTTGTTCTGGCGATTTGCGTTTCTCAGTCTGTCTGACTTCTTTTCGGACGCATTGACAGGTCGAGATCAAGGCACGTGTTCAGTTAGTGAATGCCACATCTTAGTGATCGGCCCTTTAGGGAATATGAACATTCTCAAGATTGTAATGTTTGAATAGTCTGTTCTAACATCATACTTAATTTGGGAGGGAATTAACTTTTCATTTGGAAACCTGCACATATTATTTTTATTATTTTTTTCTTAAATTTTATCAACCTTACGTGTTAGGCATACAAACCAATAGCGCGCCTTCGTTTTTTGAAGACAGAACTTATTACGGTGTTCTTCCAGTTGTCGATACCACGAGATCGCCAACAAATACATCTCGACTACAGCTATCAACAGACTTCTGGTATCTGGCACGCAACCTTCTTGTAGTGGTGATCATAGTCAACCGCGACTCGACGCCACACTACAATGTCTCTATGTGAACGTCTGTATACCACTCGTAATTCATTTGTCCTTGGCTTTTCCAACCCCGTGTTATGTATTCTGAGTTTACCCAATCTGATAGGAAGAAAAAGAGAGGATATATCAGGTCCAAAATCATTTCCTAAAGTTGAATACATCAAAATCAGATTGCATATTAATCTGCCGTACCTTGGAGTAAAGACGTCTAGCTTTTCAAGCTGCTCTTTTTATGGCAAACCCCGAAGTTCTGGAACTGCTCTTGTAGCTACCCTCTGTACTTTATCCAGAATATCCGAGTCACCTGAAGTGCACATGTAACTACATTCTCTGTTATTTCTCACCAGATTTTTACACCATCAGATTAGAGTAGCAACGCGGACTACACTACACTTGGGACTTCATTTACGTTCAGTATACAAAGTGGGGACTCTAGGACTGAGCCTTGTGGAGCTCCACAAAGTACTGATTTCCAGGTAAAGCACTAGGAATTTGTCCCTACTACCCATCTATCTCATACCAGGAAATTCTCAGTCCGTTTTCTGAGATATCCTGCAATCACTATGTTTTGCAGCTTCAAGAGTAGTCCATTTGTTGGCACCTTAAAAAATGCCTTGCTGAAGTCTATGTAGACAATATTCGCTAATTTTCTAATATCTTGAACCTCTAACCCATGCTTTCTTGCTATAAGGAAATTCGTTTTTCAAGATAAACCACTTCAGAAACCATATTGTTCGCTTTTTGAAAAGTTTTTGGTTTCTGCAAACGCCATTGTAGTCATCTTGATTATTATTTCGATTATTTTAACTACGACGCTGGCTAGGCTAACAGGTCTGTAGCTTGATGGAGGCTGTCTTGAACCTGTTTTTCGTACTGGAGTGACAATTGCATCCTTCTGGTCTATAGGTAACTCATCTTGGTCATATGACAGCAGTATATTGTGCAATTAGTCTCAAGATTTTAACACGTAGTTCATACGGCCATGCTAATTTTTCGGTGTCAAACGTGCTCAGTCGTTAGATTGAGAATCCAATGCGGTGTCCTTGTTCCGTAATTTGTGTACGAGAACAGTATTTTAAGCTGCTTGGTTATTGAATAGGTCAAATGCTTTTTACTCTTTTCGCTGGGCTTCCCGGATTGAAACTACACACTTATTTCGTACCGATCTGTAACGTTCCATCGTACTTGCTGTTTCAACTCTGATAGAGATGTTCCAACGTTTCTTCTTACGTCATGGTATCCTGGTCTATCCAGGGATGGCCGCACTTCTTCTTTGGGACTGTCCATGGATAAAATGTCGAGTAATGTTATGGTTTGTTTGCCGGAAAATTAGTTGTGCCTCTTCTTCTGACGTACATGAGTCTATTATCCAGATTTCAGGTGAGTCTTATCGCCTTCATGCCTGCTTTTCATGTACTAGGGCAGGGTGTCACAGCTGCTTGAAAAGCCATCTGAGCCAAGAACGTGGATAAGATAGCAGCACGATCAATTCTCCCTAAAGATGAGAGGAAACGTGTTTGACTGGCATCATCACCGTGAGTAAAGAGTATGTCCAATGAGACGAGAAGTTTTTTAGGTCATATTTCGTGGGATCTCTAATGCACTGGATTAAATATTGGCGATTGTGGTTTCTAACGATTCGCAATGTTTTTGATGACTCTACATCTATGTTTCACCGATTTGTAGATGGTACATTAAAGTCGCCTACACCTGTTTGACCAGGAATTAAATTTACTGTGAAGGAAGCCACGCACTGCATACTCTGGAGAGTGACATACTACAACTAATCTAATGTCGGCAGCGCATCAGTTCACATGTCTCTGAGCCATGTACGACCGTCCTAACAGCTCATATGGTTAAGGTGCTTTTCGTATACAGAATAAACTTACCACCCCTAAGGTTCAGTCGTTCAGCCCGATTAAGTAATAAACCAAGCAATTGAATTTCACTATCATAGACATATGACGTTGACCCTGTTTCTCAGATGCCAATGACATCCGAGTTTTCTGTGTCCGCCACTGTTTTGGGCTCCGCCATCTTATTTTTCAGGCTGAGAGCATTTGTGTACCATAAGCTTAATCCCATGAAGAACTTTCCCTTACCACCCAGACGTCACCACAACTTTCGATCTGTTTAAATTCTGAAAGATGCCACTCAGACTAAAAAATGCAGCTCAAACATTCTAACAATTAATAGGTGAGGTCTGTAGAAGACTGGACTTGTATTTGTGTATATTGATGATATTCTGGCTGCCAGCTCTGGTCAGATAAAACTGACGCCATTTATTCAAGGGATTCTATGGGCTGCCTTGTATGATAGTGGTCCAACCGTGTTTTTTTAGTCTAATGTTGCTGACATGTGCTGTCGTTCTAATAGAACTATTTGCTTTACTCGGCCACATTTCAGGCATAAAAGTCATTCGCGACATATTGGACATGCTCATAAACGACGGTATTATGCCAATGAACCGCCACAAACTATAGTCACTATAGTTCGTCTGAAGATTTTCTTTGAACAGTTGAAGCAGAAAGTTTCATATTCGCATAAAAGTCTAGCTATCGGTACGTCTACTTAAAGATTCTTGAAATGTTCATTTTATAAGCCTCTTTGTTGTTTATCCCATTTTCATTCAGTAAATTATTCCATGTAATGGTCTGTCTGGTTCAATGTTAAAAATGCCCATTTTTCGTTTAATCTGCTATACTTATCCTTCATATACATAACACAGGTAACTAAAAATCATCACTCGATCAAACTAACTAGATGATTAGTGTATTGAAACAACTGTAAAGCAAAAATGAAAGAAGTAAAACACGCATAACACCCAACAGTTCCATAAAATAATGTGTACAAGTAATACGTAGGGACAGAACATTCATAAAAATAGTAAGAAACAAACACTGAAAGTTTAAGAAAACGCATTGTCACATCAAACACACATATAGGAAGTAATATGAATAAATATTTTGTTTTTAAGTGAAAAAAATCATTTCGATTGCAATGAACCAACCCAGATTGAAAACACTTTAATCAGTGAAGTTCAATTTACCTGGGATCATCACCGTTCAAGATCAACGCTTAATTTATGGAGAATAACACAACGAAATTAGTTAGTCTCCAGCAGAAAAATATTCATTTCACTTTTGCCCAATGATTGATATTGTTTATTAGCTACTGAAATTAACCCATGATATACACCGTCCAGGCTTTTCTTCAGAAAATTAGAAACAATTCGTCTCGTGTCGTTTGTAAGTCTATGCTCCTGAAAAATGTATATGCTAAGGACCATTTTGTATCGCCAATAAACCAAACACAAACTTGGACATTTGAATGGAATGTCCTCTCCTTTGAGTAAATGCTTGATACAAGAATCGGTGACGAAAGGTTTCAATGCTAAGTCGAAGTTTCTTTTCTCAAGCACACTTATTAAGAATAGAATAAAGTGAAGAGATATTCAACAACAAGAAAGATAGATACAAAAGACTATGGAGATCTGGTCCACTAATAATAAGTATAATCAATGGAAGAATGGCGATTTTTGAGCGACGAAGTAAGCAGATTGATTATAAGATATAAGGCTTTTAGATTATTCGAGCACCAGCAGTTAGCAGATCTGAAAATAACTAGTATCTGTCGCCGTTCACCCATAATTGAATTCTTTAACACGCTTCATCTCATAAGTTAAATTATTAAGGCCACAACAACTAAAGCCGAGCACGGAATGAATAGTTGACAAAAGCTGGAAAGGTTTCAATAAATGGAAATAAAACTAAATACACCTTCCAACAGAAAATAACGAATCAAATAACTCTCATAAACAATATTCTAGTCATGCAGAATAATAATAAGAATAATAAGAATATTAACCATCAAAGATAAAAGAAATCGAATACATACATCAATATTTTTAAAACTAAAACAAAGAGGGAAAGCATGTATTTGGTTTAGCGTGAAAACAGGGAATTTTATTCATTAAAGCATAATAAAAGGAAAAGGGGCTGAATATGCAAGGGAATGAATTTAGTTTATTTTTCACCCTTTCTATAGAAATGTTGGTCCTAAATGTCTTGATTGCCTCTCTTTATGAGATTTACAAATGCATCGTAATCCAATTTGCCTTCTTTAATTGGAGCTTCTTTCCACGTTTGTCTTATCTACATAAAGGTCAAATTAAAGGTTTGCATGACATACATTTAAATTACAATTAAGATTTATTGAAATAGGTGAAACATTTTTTTGAAATTTGTGTTAGATAATTGTCCAGTGTTTTCGAATCTTAGTCTAAATCCTTAGGGTTTTATAAAATAAACTGCACTCAACTTAGAATTCTCTGATATTAAACGCTGATGTAAATAAGGGATGGTAAAAACATTAATGCGAACAAACCTGTGAATCAAAGAAATGAGTATTCACAATTGATTGATCACTGGGTGGTGATCAATCTCATGCTTGTCTAGTCCTTATTAGTGCAGATCGAATGCTATCGATCATGTTGCAATGTGGCCACCAGTCTAGGTGACTCGACACTGCGGGCACTATGTATTGAGATTAGATGGTGGTTGGAGGTAGTCAACAGGAAACCCTGGACCCGGGTTTCGTGCTACTTGGCACTCGTCAGCAAGGTGTACCTGTAATCGATAGCATTCGATCTGCACTAATAAGGACTAGACAAGCATGAGATTGATCACCACCCAGTGATCAATCAATTGTGATTACATCTCAGTCCTACAGGAGGTTAGTCACGGCTCGGATAGCTCAGTGGTAACGTCTCTGACTGTGAAGCTGGGTGACACGAGATCGAATCCGCCAGGGAGCACCAGTTCCCTCAAGATTACAGGTACACCTTGCTGACGAGTGCCAAGTAGCACGAAACCCGGGTCCAGGGTTTCCTGTTGACTACCTCCAACCACCATCTAAGAAATGAGTATCCTGTAACTACATTATTGATAAGTACGTAAATGGGAAACTTCGCCTGTAGCTATTTGTTAGGATAGTCGGAAAAAGAGACCAATAATTATCATGTTAATTTCAATGGTGTCCTTGGACTTTAAATGTACATTTCTTATTGGTCGATGTTTATTTCACTTGTTAAATATTGTACAAATGTTGTTTCCTATTTTATGGTACGATGTGGTTTGTTTGCTTGGTATATAAATAGAGTATGTTTGAAATACAATGATTCATAACCCAGAGGCTGTGACTTGTGTTCTTCACTCAACTGGGCTAGGACGGACAGCGAAGCAGGGCCAATCAGGCACTAGGTCGTCCGTACGTGTTTTCCGTGTCACTGTCACAGATCGCGATAAATAAATACGCTGCGTATCTAAAACCTGCAGTCACACACACCCGTTACAACACTATTCTAGAGTTACTGCCGGTCCCAAGCCCGGGTAAAGGAGGAGCGTTAGTGACCCCATCGCGTAGAAAACTAACTCGCTAAAAAAACGCTAACCAGTAAAAATAATTCAAACCATTTCAACTCTGCCATGGGAGTTAGAAGGTCTTCATTTAGAAGAACTATGACGCCTCATGGTGAAAGCCGAGTTCCTTCGGAAGCCACGAGGCCGATGCCCCTTCTAACAAACAGATCAACAATTTTTATAGGTACATGGAACGTCCGGGCAATGTGGCAGACCTAAAAGATCAGTCATATAGCAACGGAAATGGGGAGATACAACTTGGCAGTACTGGGAATCAGCGAAACCCATTGGACCCAAGCTGGACAACAAAGGCTAAATACGGGAGAGATGCTACTATACTCCAGCCACGAAGAAGAAAATACTTCACATACTCAGGGAGTTGCTCTAATGCTGTCCAAAGTAGCACGAAAATGCACTTGTAGGATGGGAATCTCACGGATTCAGAATCATCAAAGCATCATTCAAAACAAAGAAGAAGGGGATCACAATGAATATTATCCAATGTCATGCGCCCACCAATGATAGCAACGACGACATTAAAGATCAATTCTATGAGAGGCTGCAATCAATCATAGAGAAGTGCCCAAGAAAGGACTTCACCATTCTGATGAGAGATCTAAACGCCAAAGTTGGAATAAACAACATCGGAAATGAAGATATCATGAAACGACATGGATTGACTGGGAGAGCGAAATGAAAATGGGGAAAGATTTGCAAATCTGTATGCATTCAGCAAATTGGTCATAGGCTGCACAATATTTCCATAGAAACGTATACACAAGGCTATATGGATCTCACCGGACCACACAACACAGAACCAGATAGATCATATTTGCATCAATAAAAAGTTCCGAAGGACAATAGGAGATGTGAGAACCAGGAGAGGAGCTGATATAGCTTCAAATCACCACCTAGTTGTGGCCAATTTAAAACTGAAGCTAAAGAAGAACTGGACAAGTGGACAAACAGCATAACAATAGTTCAGTACAGCCTTCCTTCGAGATACTGACAAACTTAATGAATTCAAGATAGCTCTCAACAACAGGTCCCAAGCCTTACAAGATCTACTGAAAGAAGAAGAAGCTAGTATGGAGGACAACTGGAAAGATATCAAAGAAGCATTAACTTCAACGTGTCAAAAGGTTCTGGGCCTCAAGAAGCGTCATCATAAGGAATGGATCTCTATAGAAACACTGGACAGGATCAAAGAAAGGAAGAACAAGAAGGCAGCAATAAACAACAGCCGAACACAAACAGAGAAAGTTCAAGCACAAGCTGAATACATGGAAGCAAACAAGCAAGTGAAGAGGAGCATTAGAGCCGACAGGAAGAAATACGTGGAAGAACTAACAACGACGGCGGAAAAAGCGGCAAGAGAAGGAAATATAAAACAGCTTTACGATACAACGAAGAAACTAGCAGGGAAATACAGTAAACCAGAGAGACCGGTCAAAGACAAAGAAGGCAAGCCAATCACCGAAATTCAACAACAGCGTAACAGATGGGTACAATACTTCGAGGAACTCCTGAATAGGCCGACTCGAATGAATCCACCGGACGTCGAAGCATCACACACAGATCTTCCTATAGTTGACAATCCACCAACGGGGGAAGAAATCAGAATGGCCATCAGACAAATCAAGAGCGGGAAGGCAGCAGAACCAGAAAGCATACCGGCCGAAGCACTGAAGTCAGACATCGAAGTAACTACAAACATGCTTTACCTTCTATTCAGAAAGATTTGGGAGGAACAAGTGCCGGTGGACTGGAAAGAAGGACACCTCATCAATATACCAAAGAAAGGAGATCTGAGCAAATGTGAGAACTACAGAGGCATTACACTACTGTCAACACCGGGGAAAGTCTTTAACAGAGTGTTGCTGAACCGGATGAAAGACGCAGTAGAAGCCCAACTCCGAGATCAACAAGCTGGATTCCGTAGGGATCGGTCGTGCACAGACCAAATTGCGACACTACGGATCATCGTCGAATAATCAGTTGAGTAGAACTCGTCACTGTACGTCCACTCCATTGATTATGAAAAGGCATTTGACAGTGTAGATAGGAGGACGTTATGGAAACTTCTTCGACACTACGGAGTTCCTGAGAAGGTTGTCAACGTTATCCGGAACTCATACGACGGACTACAATGCAAAGTAGTGCATGGAGGACAGGTGACAGATGCATTCCAAGTAAGGACCGGAGTCAGACAAGACTGTCAACTCTCTCCCTTGCTCTTTCTTCTGTTGGTCGACTGGGTTATGAAGTAAGTACCGTAAAAGGGAAGTTTACGAATAAAATAGTACAAAATTCATTTTGTAGTCACAAAATGTTTCTTCCGTACCCTCAAATTTGCAGTCAATTTGAATTTCGGACATAATTACCAAGGAATAGATAATTCAAGCTCAATATGCAAACATTATAATTAGAATATAATTACTAGCATAAATTCATGTTATATTACATTTAAGAAAATGGAGTCTAGTTCCAAGATAAATTGACAAAAATAGTTAAAATGTACACTGGCTTATTCATATATTTATTTCACACATTAGCTGATCTTTATGAATATTCTCCTTAACTTACATCTATTTTATTTAACCTAAACAATTTCGAATTCTAAAACTTAAATAACAAATTACTATAAAATTACGTATTCAAAGGAAAGACTATTATTCAGTTTCATTCACTCACCTCTTCAGCAGAGAAATTATCGCCCATATTTTCTAAAAGATCTTTGATGCTAAAATATGATTATGATTAATTGTAAGGTATAAAACACTTACTATTCTTCTTCCAAATATCGTTTGTTCCCTGGATCAAACATTGCAAATGCATTACGTAGTGCGTCTTCAGGATCAGTACCTGAAACACAAGACAAAATTGTGAAAATATAGTTTATTCATTATAGTTTTAATGGTTACTTTTAAAATGAATTGAAATTTATACGTGAATCATTTAAATCAAGGAGCAATAAACAGTTATACAATATTAGACTGGAAATCTATATTACTAGGTAGTCATAACCGCACACATTACTAAACTCGAAACATTAAGGTTGTATTATAGACATATGTTTTGTTAAAGTGTCTGAAATTCTCCACAAGTAAACTAAAATTAACTATTGTAGTTTATCATCGTGAGGATTTGTGGAGATTGTAGTATTTTAACAGTTGAATTCACGAGTATCAATTTAAGCTAGACCATCATTGAAAACCTGGAATCACTGAACGTCCGTTTTGTACTAGAATGGGATCGCGGATGCGCACCGCTGAGGAGTCCCAAGCTGGTAAGAAACAACCTTCCAGTGCTTCCAGGTTTTCAGTAGTCGTCTAGCTTAGATTGATACTCATGAGTTCAACTGTTAAAATATGGTGGTTTAGTTAAAAAATAAACATGAATTATTTAACTTGAGTCAACAACAAAAAAGTTTACCATTTAGTTTTTCACCGAATAAGTTGATAAACATTGTGAAATTCAATGGACCAGGTGATTCATCTAACATTTCTTTCAATTCTTTATCAGTTGGTGTCCGACCTATGTAAATTAGAAATACATTCATTTTAAATTGAACATTTCAAAGTTAATTCTTACCCAACGATGCGTACATATCTTTTAAATCTTCAATATCAATAAATCCGTCACGATTTTGATCGATCAACGTAAAGGCCTAACCATTCATATGGATATTTATTTTATTATAAAATTATATAGATTAGAGGTATACCTCTTTAAATTCTTGGATTTGATTTTGAGGGAACATTCCAAAAACATTTGAAGTAGCTCTTTGAGCTCGTTTACCACCACCACCACCTCCACTACTTGCTGTCTCTTTTTTATCTTCTGCTGGAGCTCCTGCATCCTCTTCTTTGTTTTCTTTTTTCTCCTTCTTCTCTTTCTTTTCTTTCTTTTCCTTTTTCTAAAATGATTTTCAATGAGTTATAGAAGAAAAAAGATGGGTTTATATGTTGCATAGAGGTAGTTAATATGTTAAAACTAATAACTTTGATATGATTAATGATGATATAGCTCACTTATAATTAACATGTGATTTTAACACTTAACTGATTCGGTTAGAAAAAGGATGGAGATATCTTTCATAGGAATCTGTATTTTCCAAGTAACTATATAGATTATATTAGACTTGTATCAGTCTACGTCAAATGACTCTTTTCTCGCATAATTTATCTGAAATATATTTGAATAAGAGACTGATTTCTTGGTATGGGTGGGAATGATAAGAGGTAACTTGAATATTGGTTGATGTAATTAAACTTATTTCATAGATTGTTACTTACGAGGAATTCACCTTCGTTGTAATGCATCAACTTTCTAGGATCCAAAGTAAGTTATTTCATTGAAACTCATCCACTTATAATTTGTTATCTAAATTAAAGAGCTATAAATTTCTTCAGAATAATTATTCAGATACGTAAGTGTTACCGTTGAGTTAAACTCCTACAGATATTTATCTGATGTCAAAATAGTATTTTGATTAAGTAGTCAATGGCGCCAAAAAACGAATAAATAGATTGTAATTCTATTTGATGACCCATTGATATAATGATTAGTTTTAGGTAGTTATATGTACGTGAATTATTGTTTGAAGGAACACCATATATGTTTCGATAGGCGGTAATCACGAAAACTAGAACAGCACACAACGAGATCGTTATCAGGCTTTACTGTAATATTCAAGAATATTTATATGGATATATGAAACTATTTAACCAATAAGGGCAATTTGAATCAATTCTCAATATGAAGTAGATTGCATAGCTACATATAATAGGCAGAAAAAAATACCAGCTATTAGTAGAAATGTAGATGTGCTAGTTGCGATAAGAGAAGTAAAAGGATTAAATTTTCATTCAGTAGTTCAACACAGATGATAATCAATAAAATTTACTAAAATTGTGTAGTAAGAAGTGTATAACTACTCAGATAGGGAAGAATATAAACGGAAGAAGGTGAATATCGACAACTAAATGATTTTGATGGAGTTTTGTTCTCTGAGCTGGATGGTTTGGTCGTGGAGCTTTCATCGTTCTTCTAAACGACATCATCAGCACAAACTTCAGGTAGAAATAAATGGACAGAATTAAAGTTGGAAGCAATTTAAGATTGACTGACAATATTCGTAGTGATTTTTAGACACAATAGTATAATCCAAATGTTCTATGCAGTATATTTTTGATGTATTCATCTATTGGTTAGACATATTTTTAGTGAAATAAGCAGGACTACTAACAGGTAATGTTTGAAAACTTCTATCTACTTAATGGATCATTTCAACTATGATCAATTAATTAACATACTGCAAAGCGACAGTATATATTCTAAACAAAAATTTCATGAAAGTCCGTAAATACGGATACTTAAGCGCTTAATAAGTCAATAATCTCTCTGTCCATTTAAACATTTGTTATGTATTCACATATGATATGTAATAACAGTAATTGTAACGATAAAAATACGAATAATCCTCTGATAAAATAATAATTTCGTTTAAGGTAATAACAGAAGTTCATTTATTGGGGTTTTAAATAAGGGATTTTAGAATTTCTATTCTCTTGTATTGGTGAATATTATATAGGAAATCTCAAGTGAATAATTAAGAAAACAATTCAGTAGTTAAAATTTTTTTTTACTTTTGTTGAGTTTCCTAATTATCAAAAAATTGAAAACAATAACTTAATGTAAAAGCTATATTCTAAAATCTGGTGAGACCAATTATGTTACTAATGTCGAGAAATTAGCCTACTTCACCACCTCATGTTGTTTTGAAAGGATATTGAATTTGGTTTCGAATACTAGTTATCACATTCGTGTTCACTTTCAAACGTATTTCCAGGGGTTACCACTTGTTTTAATGTTCCCACCTCTAATCTAATCAGTTAAGTTTGCTCAATATTGTGGGATCTTTTCATCTCGTTGACACATATAAATCACGCTTAATGATTTTCCCAGTCATCTCATGAATAATTTATAGCAGATGAATGTTAAATCAAATTTTATTTTATTTTCTCAGTTATATAGGGTGTTATGTTCGACTCACTGTATTGCAATTTCCTATCTACTCTGTAAACAAAGATTTTAATAACAATTAGTACTGGATAAATGGCAGCACCTAGTCGACTGATATCAGTTCACTTTCTTAAAAGCTGTTAAAAGTATAAGTCTTTAAAGATTAAATCTCTATAATGTCTTTAATAATATTTGAATGCTTGTATTCTGAGTTGTTGTCTAAGACATAATACAAGCAATTCTGTCGGAATAGTACGGTTTAAGTGGCTTATGACATTTAACAGGAATAATGACTAATCGCCATTTTTGTGAAAGGAAAGAAACCACTAGAAGGAAAATAAATCTCAGAAAAACCATGAGTACCTGAAAAGATTTATTCAACTCATTAAAATTGCCTCTTTATCTATTATTCAATACATTCTTAACAAATAACTCAAGTAAAATCAAAGTATTCTTACAAAAAGTAAATTTAACTACAAAGTAGCTACCTAGAGGGATATGGCTGTAGATTATCAAAAGATATGAAGAAACTATATATAATGATGTAAGATATATCATCTTTTAATTATTTGGTTTTATAACTGTACAACTGGAACAGTAGGATTGCTTTCACAGTACTACAGTAGGTAACACTGTTTAGTTTTCGTAGACGAAATCTTTCTCAATAAACATATTTGTTGTTAGACAGAACTCTCTATATTTCTTCCATACAGTTATGACAGAGTTTGATATTTAATAAAAGTATTAGGTTCAATATAGTTACTCAAACATAATAACCCATCGTTGTTATGTTATTAGATTTGATATGTAAAAAAACTTCCACTCCTTATCACAACTAGCAATAATTCAGTTAGATGTACTTACCTTTTCTTTACACTATTCTGACCATTAACCATATTTAATATTTAACACTCAACTTTACTCGCTTGGTAATCAATATAATTTTTTGCAATAGAATAAATGTCAGAAGGGGTTTTGTTGAGATTTTAGAAATTTCACTGGTTGAAACCATGAGTCAATTGAACCTAGACCACCATGGAAAACCTGTAAGCACTGGACGGCCGTTTCGTCCTAGTATGGGACTCCTCAGCAGTGCGCATCCACGATCCCGCACCCCACGAGATTCGAACCGAGGACCCCAGTGCTTTCAGGTCTTCCACAGTGGTCTAGCTTCAACTGACTCATGATTTCAACCAGTGAAATAGAATAAATGGTAAAAAAATAATATTCATGATATATTAATCATTATCAAAATCTAACTTACTTCTTCTCCCATGTTAACTTAACACAGAATCACTAGTGTAAAACAAAATGAAGCTTCTAAAATTGATGGAATTTTCATTCGATAAATATATATATACATGGAATTACTGGAACGTGGGCGTTCCATTGAAATATATCAATGAAAGATTTGTATTATATTATTGAAAAAAAGTCAGTAATATTCCATTTCTTAACTGTGTAAATTTCCTATTCATTTTCATATATAGTCCAATCAAATTTTCTTGTGATATTTGTGCACAGGCATAACAATAATAAACATTCATAACTGTGTAAACTAGTAATGTAAAACTTTACTGAATAATAATAGTTTTCTACATTGTATATACATGATATTGAATAGAAAATATTGTAACCTTTCTTTCACCTAATCTTACAAAAATCAATAATGTGTAGAGAAAACATCAAATAATGAAACTACCTTTCTTAATATTCGATTACTATATTGGTTTTTTTGGCTGTAGATTTCAAATGATTGGTTTAAATCCAAAGGGAAAATTACATTACTCCATGACAAATATTTACTGTTAGAAAAGAACTATGTACAAAAAAAATTATGATGATTAGGAGTATTTGAATTATAGTATGAACTAAGAATCCCAGAAATAACGTAATCGGATCAAGAAGTACTAGATAAACAAAAACGAATGTACTGTATTTGGAATTCGAAATCAAGCATTCAACAAGTACAAACGAATCATTAGTTCATTCAAACACCACAAAGATTCAAATGGAAATCATGATCATTACAAGATATAAGTTGATTCGTTTTAGTTGTGATGGCTTATTGAAAAATGAGTGATTTTAAAAATTGCATGTTCCTGAGAGATTAAGTAGGAATCACCCTTAATTATAAAAAAAGTATTTTATCTGGTTAATAGACGAGTGAACGTGTTGCTCCGGATGTTAGAATAATATCAGTATAACAGAAAATCACTTAAGCTGTTCAAAATGATCTGGGATTATTGAAAAAAGCAATCAAGTAGAACCTTATCTACTACATTCAGTAATTACTTTATCTTGCTTTTGCTGAAATGGTCTGTGTGAAAATTAATATTATTATTATCACTATTAATATCAAATAGTATATTAATGAAGTGAAATATTTTACTGCTAATCTTTTGGGTATAGTTAATCTAGTTTCCATTGAACTAAATGCAAAAATTGCAGTAGAATAATATGAATCTATTAATCTCAGCAGGAGAATATATATGTAGATTTGTAAGGAGTAATAAATGTAGAACAGTGAAGGGCATTGTTCATACGATTGACTATTCCTAAGAAAACGCTATGAATATTCTAAAAAACAAAACTAATAAAAGCATCAAGACAGAAGTCTAAAAATGAACTTTATAATTAAATTCACTGGAGTATTAACTGGAGATAATCTACAAAAAAGCATGAACCTAACTTTCGCTTTAGCAAACAACTTTCAGCAAAACTCACCAAGAATCCTGAGCAAATTGACTGACATAGTGGGATCTGAAACTCCATCACTCATTTTCACGGTTTTTAACCATGGTAATGAGCAGTTTGTTCTGTGACTGACTTCGTGTATGATTTAAATATTGACAAGCTGAATAAAGCCAAGATAAATGTCTAAGAAAACTGGAAAAATATTAATAACTTAGCACGTAATATATGGTGTTAAGTAACTAAGTAGTGAATATCGAGTTCATTAGTGGGAGTAAGGTAATAGTAATGATAAAATATTATGAAAATAACAAACATAACTGGGTGAATATTATCATCAGACTGCATTACACCCTAGTAATGATATTTTTACAAATATAGATTTTAACTTGATTGAATTGGATAACGTGTATATCATAGACTAAATAAATACTAATTCTATTCATTGAATTTTTTTAAAAACTCTTGTGTGATATGCTGTTTGAGCATTTAAATTCTCAAGGCTGTACTCTGTACAGGCGACTCTAAGATTGTTCTATTATTTCAAAGGTGAAACTCAAGCTATGTGTGCACTTTTAAAATACTTATACTAGTTAGTAAATACAAGTCTTTTTATTCAATATTGTATCGCTTTATAAATCAAGGTTTCTCTATACATTAAACTTTCCTGTTAAATGCTTACAGATTTTCAACATACAATAGTCTATTGTGAAGTTGAGAGCCTTACACTAATCATTAAGTTGAAATATGAATAATCAAACATAGCATTAGGGATCAAATTCTCTTGGTTACTGTTTCATGAGTGATTAGCTCAATTTATTTACTCCCACAGACTGTTGGTTTTAAAAACTTTGTTGTAATTAGCCCTGATAGCAAATTGGAGTGGAATGGGGTCAATATTCTAATAGTTGTATAATTTGTTCGATGCTCAAATAAGGTTTGTTGATAAACGTCAATAAAAGTGAAAGGTATGGTAAACATGCTTGAACAACGGTTTAGTTCAAAGTTGTTTAGAATATATTTACTTTTAATAATTTTAATGATGACTATTTTCCTGAAAAGACTCAAACTAAATCATCACCTAAAACGTTAAAACAATCGAATTTTAATCGATATAATTCTTACTTAGGTTAATGTTAAAGAAACTAAAGTAGAAAGTCTATTTTTAAAGCAATTAGTCCCTTCGATAAATTTCGATAGTGTAATAAGAAGACCAAGATTATCGGAACTATGTGATATATTAGAGTAATACATTTCTAACATCCCACTGTGTTTTCCAATTTAAATGTGTTTGTGGTCACACCTACATAGGAGGAGTAATCGTGATCTCCAAATTAGGGTGTATGAACATATACCTAAATGGCTGCGGAAACAAATAAAATCAAATGACCCAATAAGAGTAGAGGATAAACATCCGTCATCCTCTATTACCAAACATATAATCGAAACAGGCCATTAGATTGATCTTAACACTGCTTTTGTGGTTGTGTACAAAAGTGGAAAAGGATGTGTACTAGGGTTTATTGAAGCCTTAGCCAAACGAAAATTCAAACCCTCTTTGTGCATTCAAAAACAGTTTGTTCTCACCTTAAACCTACCCTGGTAATATTGACTTATTATCCAGAGTGATTAGGTTTCAAATTGTCTTCACATTATTTCTTTATTATCCTTGTTTTCTCTTACACTCCATTTCTAGTCTAGTTGACAATTCATTTTTATATATAAATGTTCTTAACAAGTATATGTGTGATCAGATTGTTCGAAATGTATTGCACCAACATATCACATAGTTCTGATAATCTTCATCTTCTTACTACACTATCGAAATCTATTTTTATCCATTATAATTTCAAAGGTAACAATGCTTTAGCAACAGCCAACATAAATCCGAACTCCATTAACTAAAACATATTCTGACGCAAACCTGTTTTATACAAACCAATATGTTCTCTGAAGAGAATAAGTTTCGATAGGTAACCTTTTCTTGTTAACTCCCACTAAGTGTTTAAATATATTTATATCTGCCAAAACAGTTATATTAGTAGAAAATAAGGAATAATAGATACTAAATTCCATGAACAGTTCTTTAAAAGATCTTAGCTCAAGCCGAATAAAATCTTTTAAGCGTTTTATTTCAAGACATCTATGCGACAGAAGACATCAGGCAAGTACTCTGACCAATTTCATATTGACTAATAAATAATCAAACTCTAGCTTAAGAGGAAGCAGTTGTAATTCTTCCCTTACCCCGATTGCCTTAGCTCTGTGATCTTAAGCTAGTAACCATTTTAGTCCCCTAGATTCTTCTTGTGCATATGATATCGTATTGTATCATACTGCTGGATCTTTGGATAATTGTTTTATCATGATGATATATAATTACATTAATTACAAACTAACTTCATTAGTATACGTCAATCCTGACTTTAAAATATTACAGATTATAAGGAGCTGATTAAAATCAAGCAAAATAACATTAGTTCATAATAAATATATTTTCTGTAATATTCTGATGAGTAGAGAAATTGTATTTCTGAAGTTTCGTGACTTAATATAAGCCACTTCTTCAGAGTAAATTATAATAACCAGAGTAAAATTAACACAAGTTTAAATAATAAAAAGGAAACAATTCAGGGACGAAGTGAAGGAAGCGAAGCGAACAGAGTGAAGCGAAACGACGCGCAGTGGAGAAGGCATGTGAGCCAATTCCATTTAATCAAGCGTTAATCAATATTTATAGCCAGATAAAAATGTCACAGACATGTGATGAATAGGATAAGAAGCGTACACATACACTCATATAAAAACAGTCAAAGTTGATAAATGAATAATTAACAAGGTTAAAACGTGACTCAAGAAGAATGTCCAGACGCTAGAATAAGTTATATGGGTTTAGCCTAGTAACCGACACTACACCAGGTAGCAGCGGGTATAATCTTGCAACTCTTTATATTCAATTACAGAGATTCTTATAAACATATTAGATATAACGGTTAGCAAGTTGACAAAACGTAGTATTCAACCAATTCACTGTAAATTAATATTCGTATCAAATGATGAGGTATTGCATTGATAAAAATCTATGGTATTTGATAAGTAAAACATTAATGGATTAAATTCAGCTAAAAAGTAGTTTCGAACGACATTAATTAGGTTAGATTAAGTTGATAGTGTTATCACGTGAAAAATAATACTGCTGATGATTAAGGGTAGCGAATCATTGATCGGACCAAAGACGCACAAACACGTAGAACGACCTAGGGCTCTGATTGGTCTCGCTTCCCTGTCTAGCCCAGTCAGTTGAGTCCAGAACACAAGTTTCAGCCTCGGATTTATGAATCATTATATTTCAAACATACTTTGTTTATATACCAGTCAAGCAGACCACAACGTACAATAAAATAGAAAATAACATTGTACAATAATGGCCAGTAGGAAAATGACACGTTAAACAAATATTGACCAATAAGATGATACCATTCCATGTCCAAGGATAGCATTAGGCTTAACAGGATAATTTTTGGGATATTTTCCTGAATATCCCAACAGATAGATAGAAAATATTTTGAAGATTTAGGAGGTAATTT